GGATCCCGTGGAACTGGAGTTAGGACAGTTATTAGCTGCCATGTGGGTACTGGGAACCGAACCCAGGTCCTCTGCAAGAACAGTCAGTGCTTTTAACCAATGAGCCATCTCTCCAGCTCTCAGATTCAATTTTTTGAAATATTTTTATTTTATGTGTATGAGTGTATTGCCTGCACCCATGTCATTCAATGCCCAAGGAGGATCCCTTGGAACTGGAGATAAGGATGGTTGTTAGCTGCCAGTGGGTTCTGGGTACTGAACCTGGGTCCTCTGGAAGAGCAGCCAGTGCTCTTAACTGCTGACCATCTCTCCAGCTCCCAGATTCAATTAAAAAAAAATTTTTCATCTATGATTGGCTGATCCCAATGACATGGAACTCAGATATGGATGGCCAACAGTACTTTTAACTGGAGTTTATCTAAAACTGTGAGAAGTGAAATATTGTGCCTATGTGTGATCACACAGCAACTTTCAGTTCTGACTGTTCCTTGGCCTTTTGGCTGAGATCAGGTGTAGTAATTTTTAAAAAATATTTTATTTATTTATCTATTTTATGTGTATGAGTGTATTGCCTGCATGTATGTGAGTGCACCTGTGTCGTGCAATGCTGCAGAGATCAGAAGAGGGCTTCGGATTCCCCTGGAACTGGAGTTAAGGACGGTTTGTGGCCGCCATGTAGGTGCTGGGAATACGAACCTGAGTCCTCCGCAAGAGCAGTCAGTGCCCTTAACTGCTGAGCCATATCTCCAGCCCCAGGTGTAGTAACTTTTTGTTCTTTATTGTAATTTTCTTTTTTTCTGTAGCTGAAGACTGAATCCAGGGCCTTGCACTTACTAGGCAAATTCTGTACTACTGAGCTAAATCCCTAATCCCAAGTGTATTGACTTCCAAGCTCTGCACACATGCTGGTTGTCTCCAGCAAGGGGAGAGAAGGAGAACTCTGAAGATGGTTAAGTTTCACTCTAACCCTTTGTCTACTTCTCTCCAACACAATCACTGTTTCCCTGCCAGCCATCCTAAAAAAAAAAAAAAAATTGTTTTGGCTGTCCAGGTTTCCTCCATAAATTGGAGCAGCATCTGTTCTTCATAGAGAGCCAGGTATTCTGGGAGCTCCTAATTGAGGGTGTGAGTTTGAGCAAGCAGCTGCCACAAGCTTCCTTGGGAGTGTGTCATGGGCAAAAGCTAATCTATACACTAGTGATTTATTTGCCCAGAGACGATCCAGAAAAAAAAAAGGGAAAAAAAGAATCTGTTTATAAGCCCCAGAACAGCTCCCCAAGCCTAGACCCCTTCTTTAGTTTCCTAAAAATGCTCTTTCCACCTGACAGCCTTGCCCTATCTCCAGCACCAATACTTTTGGAGCTCTTCGACCAGCCAGGGCAATACACCTTCCATGGGGCACAGGCAGGGGCATTTTTGTATTTGCACACTCAATGCCTTCTCCAGAATCCCTAAACCCAAACTGCTGAAAACAGAAAGATCTTTAATAAGTTTGGTATCAAAACTCACTCGCTGGTAGCAGGGTATGGTGATATAAGTCTTTAATGCCAGTACTTGGGAGGAAGAGGCAGGTGGATCTCTGTGAGTTTGAGGCCAGTCTGGTCTACATAGTGAGTTCCAACTAGGAACTCTCAAAAAAATGAAAAAAAGAAACTGAAACTAATGAAAGTAATTCTGAGGTGCTACTGGAGCAGGCTGGCATATAGCATGGGGTATCTGTATCATGTATTCTTCCCTTCCTTGGTTTTTGAGATAAGGTCTCATGTAGCCCTGGCTGGTCTTAAACTTCCTATGCAGCCAAGGATGGTCTTGAACCACTCATCCTCCTGCCTCTACCTACCAAGTGCTGGGATTACAGTTGTGTGCCACCCACTAGTTCCTATACTTTCTAAAATCCCAGACATCCTTGAGTCTAGCCCCAGGGGTTCCTATAAGGGATTGTGACCTTGAAGATTTATGGCTTGTATCCATTCACATTATTGGTGACTGGAATCTATCTGTCCTGGAGTCTATTCTGTGTTGTTCAGAAACCAAAAGTCACTTATACTTGCATGCAGATTAGTCTTTTTAGATTTTGCCTCTATTGGGAGAAGCCTGCTTGAAGCAAATGGGTCCTTTATAGAATGCCACTAGGTGTAATTGGAGAGTGATGGGACAAGACCGGAGTCCCCCCACCCCAAATAAACCTCATGTCCTGGATAGGGCAGGCAGTGGGACAGATAACCTGGAGAGCTGGCAGGCAGCCTTGGAGAGGACCTAAACGCAAAGTGAGGCCAGAGCCAGAGGAGTGAGCTATCTTCACAGCTCCCAGCTTTGAGCTGCACAGAGGACAGCCATCGAGTGGTATAAACTCTTTTTCCTCAGCAGTTTTCCAAAACTGGTGGGATCCGCACCAGATCTTGTTACCTGTACTTCCTAGCTTCCTGGTTTTAAACAGGAACTGCAGATGCCAATCCGTGATGGCGAAGGTGTAGCCCTCTGGAAGATGTCACCACTCAGGAGGGACCAGTGATGATTTTTCTAACAGCATTTGGTCACTGTGGGGGTGAGGAAGCCCAGGGTGTCGGAGGCCGAGCCGCTTCCATATTCTAGAGGCTCTGGATTATTTGCCAAGGAAGAGAAGCCCAGGCATGGCTATCCATACATTTGGGGCAACTTCAGGGTGTTGCGAAGGGTGCGGTCAGGACAGAGCATTCCTGTGGCCCGCCAGCAGCGCCCCCTGCCGGGTGTGGCCGGCCTTGCTGCAGAATCTGGCTGCCGCGGGATACCGGGTACCCACTGTGCCACCTGGCGGCGGAAGCGGGAACGGCAGTGAGCGCGAGGCTCTGGGAGCCCGGCGGGCCGCAGTCCTGGTTCCGCGGTGTCCAGGCAGTAGAGGGTTAATCTGTCAGCAGCGCGATGTTAAACAGGTGTCAAAGGCGCCCCATATATCTGCAGATTGAAATCAAATTCTTTGCCGTATAAAAAGATAAATTACCCAGGCGCTGCCGCGCGTCCCACTCATCACGCCAGCGCCAGACGGCAAGCAATTTTTTTTTTTAATGTGCTAACGACCTAATCAAGCAATCAAGTCGGAGAAGATTGCAGAGTGACCGGGGCAGCCATCTGCCGGCGAGCCCCGCATTCATTTCCGCGCCCCAGCGCGGGGCGGGGGGCCGGGGAGGGAGCTGCCGGGGGGGAAGAGGGGAAAAAAATCCTAAACAAATTAACACCCAATTTTCCCCGTCTAATTAGTTAAATGAGAAGTGTTTGGGGTCCCCCGGGGAGGGGGAACGGCTCGCGGTGAGGCGATCGCTGCCTCCCCAGCATTAATTAGTGCGGGTCAATGCCTCGGCTCCCAGGAGAGAAGCTGCTTTAATTTCCCGTGATATTTCAGTGCCTGAGGCCCATCGATTCAAACTGAAATTAACTTATTTTTCAATCAGCCCAGGGCTGCCCCTGGGGGTGACTCTTCTTTTGCCGCCTCCTGAATAGAGCTGGAGCAATTTTTCATCAAAAGCTGATACCTCGGTCGGCTAGGACGAGGGGAGGGGCCCGGAGGGAAGGGCGGGGGCGGCCGGGGACGAGGGGATGGAAATCGCCCAGGAAACGGATGCATTTTCCACTGACAGCCTCTGCATCGGCTCACCAGCAGTCCAGAAGGGACCAGGGGCGCCTGAGGCCTGCCCCAGTTTCCCCAGGGCCACCCTCCTCTTTGAGGACCAGCTGGGGAAGCTCGGGGCTCTGTCAGGAGGTCTGGTCTCAGGAGGGCAGCATTGGGAGACCAAGGAATCCTGCTCCCCTAAGCCGGGCCAGATGCTGGGATCTCCAAGGAGCTGCAAAGGGACTGGGGATGTAATTCAGTGATAGAGGCTTGCCTAGCTTGGGGAAGTTCTAGAATTCCATCCATCCCCAGCACTGCAAACATTAATAATTAATAGTAATAAATCTACAGACATCCCCAGGGAACCCCACTGTCATTTGGATTCAGCCCATACCAATCAACTCAGGGGTCAAAGATACACTCCCCTAGGGTGTTGCCCACCAAAACAAACTCTCTCCTAGGTCCCTACTCTCCTTTGCCTGATACACCACAGAGAATGCCATCTTCTTTGCCTGACCCAGGAATGTGGCCCATGTCTCCAAAATTCCATTTAGAGTTAGGCTGAGAATGGTGGACAATAAGAATTTGGAGGAGAGCAAAGTGACATGGCAAAGCTCAGTGGGACAGGGCAGAGAAAGGGTGGCAGACTTGGGCATCTAAGGGGAATCTGCTACCTGCTGTAGGACTGGCTGTCTCCTGGAGGAAATGTCTCCAGGAGTGCTCACTGCTATCAGCTCCATGGGCCCACATACTCCTGTACCCCTCCTGGACTGTGGTTTCCTGGTCTCTAACAGACAGAGCCTTGAACAAGGGACATGGACAGACACAGTCAGGCCAGGGACTCAGGAAATTTGTCCTTTTGCAAACCAGAAAGAGGGTCTGTCACAGACATGGTTGATAAGTTGGATAGCTATGCATGTGGCCCAACATAAAATAGTAAACTTAAAACATCATGAGATTTTTGTTGAGTTTTTGTTTTGTGATTTGATTGGGCAGTTCTCAAGAAGCTTGAATCTTGTAGATGACCACACTGGGCTGCAATATGTTAAAAGGTGGGACACACCTGCTGATGAAAGCGTGAGCACCTGCAAGAGCATTCACACCTGGGTGGACTTCTTGGTTGCAAACCAAGAACCACACTGGGTACTGCCCACCTGCAGAATCTTGTCTGGAAGTGTCCCAAGCCTATCTCCCTAGAATGGCTTTGATTTCAAACAAGTAAAATGGACCCATTTTGCCCATGGTGTGTTCTCAGGTCTTGATGTCAATCCTTCTGACAGCCCCTGAGTCCGAGGAACCTCAGGGACACCATGGGGTAGGGTAGCTGGGTTAAGGATATCCTCTGAGGCAGACAGGGGTAAGGACCTTGGGCCTAGAGCTTCTCAGCACAGCCCTGATGGTTTCTCTGCACTGGCAGGTGTGGTTCCAGAACCGCAGGGCCAAGTGGAGGAAGCGAGAGAAGTGCTGGGGTCGGAGCAGTGTCATGGCTGAATATGGGCTCTACGGGGCCATGGTGCGGCACTCCATCCCTCTGCCCGAGTCCATCCTCAAGTCTGCCAAGGATGGCATCATGGACTCCTGTGCCCCATGGCTACTGGGTAAGAGCCCGCACCCTCCTTGGGGCCCTGCCCCTGTGGTGAGGAGAGCGGGCTCCATGGGGGAGGGACTAAACACTGGGTAGGGAGACCTGGGCCACAACAACCTAATGGGAGAGAGGCTTTGCAAGCAGGCCACCCAGGCTTTCTAGGACCTGGTGTTCATCCTTTGCACCTCCCTGCTGAGTGCAAAGGATTCCCATTCTGGATGAGTCTCTGGTTGTGAATTCTTTGGTCCTGTAAGGAGGGTGTTGCCCTAGAGTCCATGTTTCCTTCTCCTGCACCAGAGACAGACTTGTAGTAAATGAAGTAATAGCCTTTGAGGGTTGAGGAGACCCCTAGGTCCCTTTGACTACCTCTCTAGTTTTGCCCAAGAATGTCTTCCCCCAAATCTCTCCATCTTCCATCTTCCTCCACCTGTCATCTGGGTCAGTGATAATGGTATCAGCTTACTTGGGGGTTCCAAGACGTAAAATTCCACAATGAAGGGATAGGGGTATGTGTGCGATGCCCTGAAGGGACAGAACAGGCTGAAGGGGGCCAAGCACCCAAGGGTTTGGGGTGGAGAAGTCCTCTGTAGGCCTGGTTCTCAGCTATTGGCCTGAAACCCAACCCCATCAGCCACCCTCCCCCATCCCCATCCCCTGGCCCAGCAGTGGGACTTGCGTGACTGTGGTGTATGAAGCAAGGGTTTCTGCTTATCCTTAATTCTGGCCTCTCTCTATCTTTGCCGTTTTCAGTTCAAGATGGCTTTCCCAGGCGCTTTTCTAAACCCGAATACCAACAATTCTTTTTAGGGATGCACAAAAAGTCGCTGGAGGCAGCAGCTGAGTCGGGAAGGAAGCCCGAGGTGGAACGCCAGGCCCTGCCCAAGCTTGACAAGATGGAGCAGGAGGAGCGGGGCCCAGATACCCAGGTGGCCATCTCCCAGGAGGAACTGAGGGAGAACAGCATTGCAGCGCTCCGAGCCAAAGCTCAGGAGCACAGCACCAAGGTTCTGGGGACTGTGTCAGGGCCTGACAGCCTGACCCGGAATGCTGAGAAGCCAGAAGAGGAGGAAGCCATGGATGAAGACAGGCCAGCTGAGAAGCTCAGCCCACTGCAGCTGGAGGACATGGCTTAGGTCAAGGGGTGCTGGTCCTGGAACCCTGAGACTCTGCTCCTCTCAGAGGCCTGTGGTGCAGGGATATTCTGAGAAAAGGTCAGGCCTGGCCTCTGCCACTCTTCCCTGTACCACGGATCCTCCATTACCCCCATCAACTCCAGGCACAGGGCAGTCCTGGCTGTGACTCTGCATCACACTGAGACATCCTGGACCTACCCTTGACTCCAATATCCTCCTCATCCCAATATCCCTGCCTCAGAAACTTTCTTGCTGCCCAACCTCAAGCCCCTGTCATTCCATCCCTAGGTGACTCTGGCTGTCCAAGCCCACCCTTTATTCTCTGTGCTCTCAAGAGCCCTCCTTTCCAGCTCAGCGCCCCTATGGACTCTGTCAGCCTCTGTCTAAAGCCTATTGCTGCAAACCCATGGCTTGCCACAGTTGTGACTTGAATGGAGGACCTAAACTCCAGCTTCGGTGTCCTGAGCACCACAGTCCTCAGCAGGGCCTCTCCTCTGCAACTGTTCCTTCTAGCTGGCCTGGACCTGGGGTCCTACTGTGTGAATATACTGCTCTGCTGGTCCATGTGTAACCTCTGCTTCCTCTGCTCCACCCACTGATGGTGTCCAGATTCAAGACTAAAGGGGGAAAGCCTCAGACTGGGCACTTCTACTACCCTGTCTCATGCTGTGGTGTGGTCATCCTTCGAACCTGCCTTCTCCACACCCAGCCTGCCCTAGGGGTTCATCCATTGCAGAGGGGGCACTTTTCATCATGCTGTGGTTCATCATACTACTGGGGAACCCAAACCCTCTACCCAGAGCTCTTGAGCCTCTGGGGCCTGTGCTTCTGAAGTATTCTGAGTCTCCTGCCTGTGACCCTGACTTGCTCCTTAAGGCTCCCTTCCTCCAGAGCTTCTTGTAACCTACTGGTTCATAGTAGGTTGTGGCTTGAAAGCCACAGATCTCACCTTTCCTTGATCTAACCATCCCTAAAAGGCCAACTCTAAAGAGGATGTGGGCTATAAATACTCATCAAAGCTAGGTGACAAGGAGGGCATGGGGGAAATTTCAAAAGGAAAATAGTAGGTAAACCTAGACTAAGCTGCAAGCACTCACAACTTCATGTATGCCCAGAAGCATGTCCACTAGATAAGAAGCCATGTTAGACTGAGGGACTGGGGTGTCTGTCTGCTGAGGAATGGAGCTAGCTATACTGATGGACTCTGCAAATGCCTCTCACACCTGTCTTTACATTGTTAGTGGGGGCACACAGCTTTATGGAGCCTTCTGGTCCCCCTCACCCTGTGAAGTTCCTTCTAGCACCTCACCTTTGCAGGGAATACTTCACAAGAAAGCCCTGAGACAGTGGGTTGCAATTTTAATTCTGCTCTGAAAGTTGATTTCTTCTTCATTCTGTCCATGGAACTCTTCCCCTTCCAAGTTCTTATCTCTGTCTCCTATTGGTTTGAGATGTTAGACTCTAGCCCTGGTGTGTAAATAATGTACATAGAGTCAGAAGGAAGAAACTTCATATTGAGATGTTTGACACACAGAACTGTAATAACTTTTAGGTATTCGAAACGTGATTTCTGTACCATTTTCTGTAAAGACACAAGTAAGAATAAAATTTATGCAAAAACTCTGGGAAGGGATCCAGGAGGACTCCATACATGGGGTTGGTTGGTTGCTTGAATGTGTGGATAGATGGCATAAAAAGTAAACCCACAAAGGCTTTTAGGCCAAAACTAGATTCCCTCTTTCAAAATGACTCCAGATTTTGAAGAACTGGCCTGCCTCTGGCAGCTGAGCTCATGATACCCTTGAGTGACATTTGTCTCTGTAATATGGAACCATTCTCCACTGCAAATCCAATTTACATCTCTGTCACAGAGCTCCAAGTTATTATCTATAAGCCTTTGCTAGTTCCCACACAGGAAGGTGACATTAGCCCTTCTCTTTGATAGTTACTTCTCTCTAATCAATCCTATTTTGTCTGTGCCTCTAGTGATGCCCATGGTCCCCCTGGGCCCCCAGGAACACAGACTCCCTTTAGTGTACGCCTGTGCACTTGCACATTCCACCTTCAACATACACAACAGCAAACAGAAAAGGTAAGCGTATCGGGAAATGAAAGTCAGATGATACTAAGTCCTTTGTCAAAGAGGAAAGATGGCTTGAGAGATGGCTCAGTGGTTGAGAGTGCTTGCTGCTCAATCATCTGGATCATAATTTGGATCCCAGCACCCATATCACAAGCCAGGTGTCTGAAAAAACACTCATAATTCCAGCTCCAAGGGATCTGACATTCTCTTCTGGCCTCTGTGCCCAAAGGCATCTATACCATTCACACACAAAATTTTTATTGTTTTTGAGGCAGAGTCTCTTGATGAAACCTCAGCTGGCCTGTAACTCACTGTGTAGACCAGGCTGGCCTGGATATCACAGAGATCTGCCTGCCTCTGCCTCTTCAGTACTGGGATTAAAGATCACGCCTGGCTTAAAATCTTAAAAAAAAAGCGAGTGAAGGAGAAACAGATCTGGAGGGTATGTGAAATTGCCTACAGACAGTTGTAACCCATGACTTGATGATGTATTGGATGGAATTACAAGTTGAAAGACTGGGTAGATGGTATTTGAGCTCAAGATATCTCATAAGACTGTTTCAAATCAACTTAGCTGTGGAATGCTCTTGTGGAAGAGATTTCTGGCAGCCCATCAAGGACAATGACAGGAGGTCAAAGTCCTGGTACTTGGGATGTGACCCTTCCCAACTTGGAGCCTGGTGGGCATACATGGGAATTCCCTGGCTCCTGTGTGTCCTGCCTGGCCTTGCTCCCTTGGGCCTCCTCTGAGCAGGGCAGGCTCCTGCTGCACCCGCACCCCGTAGTCTAGGAGGGCCCATCCTTGGCCCTACCCACACTAACCCTCCACAAAGTACTGTCACTCCTTCATGCCAAGCAGGCTTATGGCTTCTGTTCTGTCACAGCACTTGGCCCATCACTCCAATCTAGCACTTCCCCAGTTGTGTTGTAATTTATTTGCAAGTCTATATTCCCCATAAGACTGATTTCTTTAAAGGTAGGACCTGGGGCTGGAGAGGTGGCTCAGTGGTTAAGAGCATTGGCTGTGCTTGCTGAGGACCCAGGTTCAGTTCCCAACACCCACAAAATGGCCAACAACCATCCATAACTCCAGTTCCAGGGAATCTGATGCCCTCTTCTGGCCTCCTTGTGCATTGTATACATTTGGTGTACCTATATATGTGCAGGCAAATCATTCATACACTTAAAATAAAAACAATAAAAAATTAGGGACTGAGCTGGTGCACCCTTTTAATCCCAGCACTCGGGAAGCAGAGGCAGGTGGATCTCTGTAGTTCAAGACCAGCCTGGTTTATACAGTGAGTTCCAGGCCAGCTGGGGCTACAGGGAGACCCTGTCTCAAAAAGACAAAGAAATTTTTTTTTTTAATTAGGGGCTGGAGAGATGGCTCAGCAATTAAGAGTGCTGACTGCTCTTGCAGAGGACCCAGGTTCAGTTCCCAGTACCTACATGGAGACTAACAACGACCTGTAGCTCCAGTTCCAGGGGATCCAACGCCCTCTTCTGGCCTCTGCCAAAATGGGTGCACTTACATGCATGCATGCAAAACACTCATACACATAAATTCTTTTAAAAATTAAGGGTGGGACCTATATCTGATTTACCTTTCTTCTTCTTCTTCTTCTTCTTCTTCTTCTTCTTCTTCTTCTTCTTCTTCTTCTTCTTCTTCTTCTTCTTCTTCTTCTTCTTCTTCTTCTTCTTCTTCTTCTTCTTCTTCTTCTTCTTCTTCTTCTTCTTCTTCTTCTTCTTCTTCTTCTTCTTCTTCTTCTTCTTCTTCTTCTTCTTCTTCTTCTTCTTCTTCTTCTTCTTCTTCTTCTTCTTCTTCTTCTTCTTCTTCTTCTTCTTCTTCTTCTTCTTCTTCTTCTTCTTCTTCTTCTTCTTCTTCTTCTTCTTCTTCTTCTTCTTCTTTTTCTTATCTTTCTGAGGCAGGTTCTCCCTGTAGCCCCAGCTGGCCTTGCTATGTAGACCAGGCTGGCCTCGAACTCATAGAGATCCACCTGCCTCTGTCTCCCAAGTGCTGGGATTAAAGGTGTGCGCCACCACACCCAGCCTGATTTATCATTTTTATCCCAGGACCCATCAAAGGGCTTGTTACTCAGATGTTGTTGAATGAATGAATGTTCTGTCTATAACAGAGAATTCATCAATAATTTAACAAGATTTACTGAGCATTTAATGTGTATGAGTTCTAACAGATATCAGCAACTAGCATGTATCGATGGGGCAAGGCACTGGGGATTGAACAGTGGTAGGCAGAGCAGTCCTGAGTTCCTCGTCTCATGGAACTTAGTCTAGGGGAGAGACACAGTTCCATAACCACACATGTAACTGTAAAATAGTAACAGTCCTAAGGCCTTGGAAGCATAAGAGACCATAAAAACAAACAGTACAGTGACCTGACCACTCATGGGACACAGGTCAAGGTGCTTAGCCTCTGAGCCTCTCTCCTGCCTCCTAAATTCAATGATACCATCTTCTTTCATAATGCTGGGAGGAAGAAAGGACATTAGGAAGTGTGCCACAAGCCCCAAAGGAAGATGACTATGACAAGGTAGGCTCCTGAGGTCTGAGTACTTGGGAGACCCTAGAAGTCCTGGACAGTCACCCCAGGGATTTGCCTGGGGGAAGCAGGCAGCTGGCTGCTGCCTCCAGATCATCAATGGGAAACAGGCTGGATAGAAAGGGAAGACCCAGACATCCTGGCCCAATCAGGGCAGAACAAAGCAGCAGAAATCCTGCTCAGATGCTGACCCTGTAATCCCACCCCTCGATGGAAAACACCCCACTAGCCGGGCTGCCAGTAGACAGGCTGCATGTTCCAGGAAGTACAAGAAAGCGATAAATGGGCAGGAGGGACTGATTGATGAGGGCTATCCATTCTGCTGCACAGGCCTGCCGGAGATGAATGAGGAAGAGGCTGGCTGGGGTGGAAGGGTGGCACATGGGAGTGGGGTGGGAGCTCCTGAAGCCAGGGACTGTGGCATAGAGAGCAGTGGTTGCAGAAGACCTGGTTTGAGTAACCACCAGGACCTGGTTCCCACTCTGCCATTTCCTCCAGCCTCCTATGTCACCTGTACCTCCAGCTCACTGTGACCTTGGAGTCTTTCTTGCCCTTTGAGAGCTTCAGCATGCACAGGGTGTCAGTATGGCCCCTTGGCTCATCAACCATTACTGAGGTGCCATACTGATGTTAGACGTTAATGGGAAATGGGGAGAGGACGTGATGAGTACTCTGGACTACCATCTCCATTTTTCTGTAAAGCTGGGTGTGATGGGGCACACCTGGAAACCCCAGCACTCGGCAGGTGGCTTCTATGGGTTAGGACAAGGGTCAGAATTGCCCCTTTCCCTATCTCTAGTCCCTAGGCTTCTGCTAATCAAGTTGGTCATATAACACCTTCTGGGGACCAGAGCTCTAGTCAAGAGCCAGTGGCTTCCCCAGGCTCTGTCTCCTGTCCTGCCTCCTCTTGTCCTCTGGTCTCCTGGCTGCTCCTCATCTCAAACAGCAATGCAGCAAGCAAACTTTGACTAGTCACAGCTGAGACAGGGCCTCACTCCATTAATTTCCCACTACTGATCTGTCCCTTTAATGCTAACTGTTCTCACTGATTGGCAGCCTTGCCCACCTCTGGATTCCTTGCCTCTAAGCCAAGGACCTCTCCAATATACCTCCAAGGCTTTGCTCGCAGTGTGGCTGAGCTGCGCTATGTGTGGACCTCAGTGAGTCTTTGTCACAGGAATGGGGTCCACCAGGCAGAGATTTACCTCCCACCCTGGCTTGGGGCCCCGTGAGGCCTGGGAGGAGGTGGTTGAGCAAAGTGATCACAGTAAGCTCAGCAGTGAGAGGGAAGAGTATCCACACTCCTCATCATGGGTGAAGCAGACCAGGTTTGTTTGTGGTGCCAGGGGTTGAATCTAGGGACAAAACTTGCTCAGCTCAGAAGTAAAGGATGAAAAGTGGCTCTGCAGGCTAGGGAGACGGTTCAGTGGTTTGGTGCACTGGCTGCTCTTCCAGAGAACTGGAGTTCAGCACCCATACTGGGTGGCTCAGAACCACCTTCAACTCTAACTCAGGGGAACCAACACCCTCTTCTGGACTCCAAAGTCACCTGCACACATGTGGCACACAAACACACATACATAAAAATCGTTAAAAAGAAAGAAAAAACAAGCAAGCAAGCAACTGGGTGTGGTGTTCCATACCTTTAAGCACTCAGGAGGAAGAGGAAGGCTCATTTCTGTGAGTTTGAGGTCAGTCTGGCATACATAGTGAGTTCCAGACCAGCTAGGGCTACATAGTAAGACCCTGTCTCAAAAAAAAAAAACAAGACAATAACAAAACCAGAAAACATTAGGGAGATGTGCATGAAGCAGCTCGTATTTACAGCTTCTGTTGACAGTCTGAGGCTAGCCCTCACATCCCTAGTAACAATTTTGGCTGGCGGTGAGCACTGCCTGGGTTTTTACACAGGATTGGCCCTCTCAGGCACTCAGTCCCCATTGTCCCAGCTGGCATTCAGTCATTACTCTCACGGAGCTCACAGCCAGGAATTTGCATCTTCTGCCCTGGGTTAATATTTCCAGATCAGCGAGTGTTCAGTCCCAGCCTTCTTAGTACATTTTATTATCCCTTGACTCCATGCAGTCCCCAGCTCTCCTTTCAGCTCTTAGCAACACATACATATTAGCCTATGATTTATCTTGCCATTTCACACTCATGTCATAATCCACTCCTGTTCCTCTAAGATTTTTATGTGTATGTGTGTATTGCCTGCATGTAGGAAAGTGCACCTGTGTCGTGCAATGCCTGAGGGAGGACAGAAGAGGCTGTCAGATCCCCTGGGACTGGAGTTACAGACAGTTGTTAGCTGCCATGTGGGTGCTGGGATTCAAACCTGGGTCTTCTGCAAGAACAGCCAGTGTTCTTAACTGCTGAGCCATCTCTCCATCCCAGAATGGATATAGTTATAAACAGAAAATTTTGGGCTGTAGAGATGGCTCAGCAGTTAAGAGCACTGGTTACTCTTGTAGAGGACCAAGTTCAGTTCCCAGTAATCACATATCAGTTAACAGCTGTCTGTAATTCCAGTTCCAGGGGATCCAATGCCCTCTTCTGGCCTCCTCAGGCATTACATGACATAGGTGCACAGGCCAAACACACACTAAAAATCAATTAAAAAAAAAAATTTTTTTTTTGGTCTTTTTGAGACAGGGCCTCCCTATAGCCACAGCTGGATTGGAACTCACTATGTAGACCAGACTGGCCTTGAACTCAGAGATCTGCTTGCCTCTGCTGGGATTAAAGGTATGTGCTACCATGCCTGGCCCACATCATTTTCCTTTAAAAAAAATTTTTTTTAATTATTTTTATTTTATGTGTTTGAATGTATTGCCTGCATGTATGTGAGCACATCCATGTTGTGTAATGCCTTGGAGGTCAGAAGAGGACATTTGATTCCCCTAGAACTGGAGTTAAGGGCAGTTTTTAGCAGCCATGTGGGTGCTGGGAATGGAACCCAAGCGAAAGCAGTCAGCTCTTAATCACTGAGCCTACTCTCCAACCCCATATCATTTCCCTTCTTTGAAGAGAGGGAGCTTTTGCTAACACCTTGATTTGTTTTGGTTTTGTTTGCTTTGGGTTTTTTTTGAGACAGAATCTAACTCTGTAGCCCAGGCTGGCCAGGAATTCACTATGTAACTGGAACTTTTTGTGATCTTGCCTTAGCCTCCCTAGTGCTTCCATTACAGGAGAACTCTGGAGGCAGATCTCTGTGAGACTGAGGCCAGCCTGATCTACATAGTGAGTTCCAGGCCAGCTGGGGCCACAGAGAGACCCTGTTAAAAAAACAAAAAACAACAAACAAAAAAAAGAGAGTTCCAGGCTGGCCAGGGCTACATAGTGAGATCCTGTTACAAAAATAAGTCACTTTGTGTTTGTTCAACTGGCAAACAAAGGCATGAAAGACAGGTGAAAAAATGAACCTTTTGTAATGCAGAATTCATTGTTCATTGCTCATTGTGTATGAGTTCTGATACATACAGGCAGGAATATGACAAGACAGCTCAAAGTGATGGTGTTGAAAGAAAAGATGATATAGGAATGATGCCCTGGGCAGCTGACTCCCAAGAGATCAAATACAGGCAAAGGATCATGTAAGTAACCTTATCATACAAGATGAATATTTACCTGACCATAGGTGCTTTTGTATTGATCTCAAATTTCTGAAGTCAGGATTTGGCAGGTAAGAAAGAAAATAATTGGAGGGCCAAGATGGCAGTGCAGCCGGGACAATGGTGGCAACAGAGACTCCCATGCACACCGGCAAGACAGAGCTCACCTAGCTGCAGTCCTCAACATCAGGAATCTGAGAAGACTAGAGATCTCAGAAAATAGAGGACACTGGTTTAAAGCTTGGGCAAAGCTGTGAAATTTCCCAACTACCACTCAGAGAATCTTAGATTGGAGGCCGGTGAGCTAATTGCTGCCTGATGTGAGGACCTAGCTTCAGCTTTTTTTTTTTTTTTTTTTTTAAGAAAAGAGAAATTTTATATGAGCTGGAGAGATGGCTCAGTGGTTAAGAGCATTGGCTTTTCTTGCAGAAGACCCAGATTCAAATATCAGCACCCACACGGCAGCTAACAACTATTCATAGCTCCAGTTCCAGGGGATCTGATGCCCTCTTCTGGCCTCCACAGGCACTGAACAACACAGATGCACTTACATACATTCAGGCAATAACACTCATATACATAAAACAAAACGAAACAAAACCACCAAAAAATAAAGATAAATCTGCACTATAGAAAAAGTAAAAGCTGCAAAAACTTGTTTTTAATGTTTAAATACTTTTTTTTTGAGACAGGGTCTCCCTGTAGCCCCAGCTGTCCTGGAACTCACTATGTAGACCAGGCTGGCCTTGAACTCACAGAGATCTGCCTGCCTCTGCCTCCCAAGTGTTGGAACTACAGGAATGCGCCACCACACCTGGCTAAAATACTTTTTTTTAAAAAAGTTAGAAAATTTAAATGGTCAAAGTTTAAAAATCTATCACTGTGAATTTTCCCCAGCTTTCTTGAGTCTAATAGCCTTCCCACCCTGATTCTTCATTTCTTATAGTTTACAGTTTTTCTTCAGTAAACACCATCTGAAGTAATCTGTAAGTAATCAGCACTTCCAGCATCCAGAAATCACAGGAGTGGCACTGGGAAGACTTCAGTGTTGCTGCAGGGCCGTTCCTGGACTGGGCCTACTGCTGCCAAGGTTCCCAGGACCTGAGGCAAACCTGGGGCCCCTTTCCACCTCATCAGCCTTCTTGTTCTGCTTGGGCACTGCAGGCCTGCCCAGAGCTTGGTGTCCTGGTGGCCATCCACCTGTTTGGCTTCATTCCATTTTGATCCTAGTCAGTTCCCACCTTCCTCCTCCACAGAGTTTCAGAACCCAGGAGTGAAACTGCAAGAGACCATCACCCCACTAAAATCAGAGAGCTGCCAGAGTAGGAGGTCACCCTATTCCCTCTGCTACTCAATGCCTCATATTGACGGGGTTCTGGTCCTGGCCAGACCAGCCTTTGGGTTCTTCCTCCTCCTCGGGCCATCCTTAGGAGCATGGGTACCTTCTCAAGGCTGGGTCGATGTCCCACGCTGATGAATGTCATCCCCAGTTGCTGGCCAATTCGGTAGAGCTCACTCTCCACTTCCTCTGTCAGGGCACTAGTGGCTTCATCAAGCACTGATGGCAGAATGAGGTGCCAAGGGATCACAAAAATACCCTTGCCTTCTCTGTTACTCCTCCAACCCATATTCATCCTGGGGTGTGGGAGTTGACAGTTGCCCTGGCTTATAGGCTCCCTGCCTCAGGGAGAACACGGTCCAAGAGAGCCATGCTGGACTAGAGCACACACACACCTGTGAGCACGGCCCAAGCCCCTTAGCTTCACACCGATAAGTGCCCCTGCTTGCTGAGCCTTTACAGTCCAGGGCTCCCAGTTCACTTAAGGCTGTGCCTTCAGAAAAGTCCACAGCTGCCATATATACACACCCCCTGCCAGGTATAGCTGTGGGGATGCTCACTCATATGGCAGAGGTCAAAGAACGACAATCCCAACAATTCCCAACTTGAGGTTGCCATAGCAGAAGTTTAATGGTAGGTATTTACATCCTTATGCCAAGGCACCAAGCACTGCTCATCATGGCAGGAGACACAGGAATGCCCAGCTATACACAGGTATGCACAGGTACATGTGAGCACATGCTGTGCCTGGCATGTGCATTTGCAATGTGGACCTCACCTGCATACTTTGGCTGCAGGTAGAAGAGGCGGGCGAAGGACAGCCTTTGCATCTCCCCTGGGGACAGGACATCATACCTAAAAAAAAGAATGAGGTGAGCCCTAAAAGGTGACAGCCTGACTTATACCAGGAATAGGCCTGCAGAAAGAAGTTCTCTGTAGAGATAGGCCCCAGTTCAAAGGCCCTCCCTTTTAGGCACAGCCCTGCTTCCCATGATATAGGTGAGACCCAAACCATGCCCAGGGGTACGACTTGAACTGATAGACCAGTAAACATCTGGCTGTTGGGGAAAGAAGCCATTCTATCCCTTGACAGGGTTGTTGGGACCCACTGCCTTCACGGGGAAGTTCTTCATTCTTCATTCTTACCAATTCCAATCCACTTGCTGGTCCAGACCCTCTGTCCTTGCCACCAAGCTGGACTGTAACAGACAGAGGGCACAAAGTCCAGGGAAGTGTCCACCCCTGTTTTCTGTCATTCTAGCTTCCAAACACACAAAACTTTTCTGTGACAGACCCCAGTGGTATACCAAGGTGGTGCTATCACCTGTACACTGTTTAGACTAGCTGGAGTATGCTGACAACATACAGACAGACTCCATTCTCAACAGAGGCATTTAAAAATTCTCAACAGAGGTCAGTGAGATGGGTCTGGGATTGTGCTTACTGTGCAAGCCAGGTGATCTGAGCTTGTTCCCTGGAACTCAAGGAGAGACCTGACTCCACAAAGTTCAAAATAAATCCATTTTGAGTGTGTGTGTGTGTGTGTGTGTGAGAGAGAGAGAGAGAGAGAGAGAGAGAGAGAGAGAGAGAGAGAGGCGCAGAGAGGCAGAGAGACAGAGAGAGAGCTCATGGCTGTGTTAGAGTCTTTAGGGCCCCTGTCCTACTTACCAGGCCTGCTAACTCCAAGAACCTCATGATCCTCTCATCATCAGTAGAACCTGAAAAGCAGAGACAGCTTCAATAACACATCAGGCCCTCTGGCTGGCCAGAATGAATAGCAGAGGCAGGAGCCCCAGAACAAACTTGATAGGGGAGGGGCCGGTGAAAGGAATAACTGCTTCCCTTCTCCAATGGGTACCTCTCTTTGGGGAAGATGAGGTAGCAGGATGGATTCCCCAAACAGTAAGCAGCTAAAGGAGAAAACCCAATTTGAAACCAGCAACCTGGCCAGACACTCTTCCAATAGGCACAGGGAAGGCCAGAGTCAGGTGGAACAGAAGCTACTGAGATGAGAAGACGGACCAGCTCACCTGAGTCAGGGTAGATCTCCTTCAGGGGGTATATCACCTGAGAACAAGAACGACACTGGCTATGAGGGTAACAGGGACAGTGGCAACAGGCCCCTGCTCTTAGAATCCCTAAGAACCACACAGAAAAGACAGCTCCTCCCTACCTGAGCCGAATAGGGTCACCTGACTGAGGGATCAGCAGGAGAGATGCAGATCAACTAGGGGGCAACCATAACCTTCAGAGGGAAGAGTCTCAGAGCCTCCTGAGGGCAGAGCCTAGAGTCCAACCTTAGTGTCCAACACACAGGCCAGCAGCCCCAGGGGGTTTCTCTGAGTTTAGTCCATAAATACTATATAGAATGTTCCTAGAACCTGGGAGTTCCCAGGCATGGGCATTTTATTACCCTACCTTTTGCCCCTAACTCCCTAGGGCCTGAGGGCTGCCAGTGTTATAAGACCCAGATGTGAGTGGGTCACATGAGGTGGGAGGAGTGGGCCCTTGACCCAGCTGACCTGCTCTCGAAGTGTCCCATCAGTGAAGAACGGCTTTTGTGGCAGGAACAGCACCCCGTGGGGCCCAAAATCAGCCAGCATCTGCACTGAGCCTGCAGAGCCCACAGAAGCCTCTATTGGGAGACCTCCCAGAGAAGGTAACTGCCCCTTTTCTCCATTTCACCCTCTTCCCACCACACTGCCCACTAGGGCCAAGGTTAGGTCGGAGGCAGGGAGGGCCTGGCTCTCACCCTTCGTGCTCGCCCACAGGCCTCCCAGAACCCGCAGCAGGGAGGTCTTGCCAGTGCCCGTGTTGCCTGTGATGAGCAGGCTCTGCCCTTCACAGATCTTCAAGGTCAGGTCCTTGACTAGGGGTTTGTCAGAGGAGGGGGCCGAGATGGAAACCCGTTCAAGCAGAAAAGCTGTGTCCACTGGATCTGCTGTTGGCCACTCTGGGGCCCTGGGGAGACGGGAAGGTAGGAGGACATGCCATGTGAGCAGTACAGGGCAAGTGCCTGGCCTAGAGACAACTCTGCCTCACAGGCTCTAGGGTCTTACCATGCCCTTCAAATTCTTATGTGGATGTCTTAATCCCTGTGCCTCAGAGTATAATGGATGTGGAAATGGTTCTTTAAAGAGGTGATGTTGGGGCTGGAGAAATGGCTCAGTGGTTAAGAGGACTGGCTCCTCTTGCAGAGGACCCAAGTTTGATTTCCAGCACCCATACGGTGGCTAACAACCATCCATAACTCCAGTTCCAGGGGATCAGATGCCCTTTTCTGCATGGCACAGGTGAACTTATATACATGCAGGCAATACACTCATACACATAAAATAAAAGTAATAAAAAATATATATGTATTTTTTTTTTGTCTTTTTGAGATAGGGTCTCCTCGTAGCCCCCAGCTGTCCTGGAACTCACTATGTAGACCAAGCTGGCCTCGAACTCACAAAGATCTGCCTGCCTCTGCCTCCTAAGTGCTGGGATTAAAGGCGTGTGCCACCATGCCCGGCATATAAAATATATTTTTAAAGGGTGATGTTAAGGGGTTAGAGAGATGGCTCAGTGGGTAAGAGCACTGGCTATTCTTGCAGAGGACCTGAGTTTGGTTCCCAGCACCCACATGACAGCTAACAACTGTCCATAACTCCAGTTCCAGGGGATCTGATGCCCTCTTCTGGCCTCTGCGAGCACTATACAACATGGGTACACTTACAGATATGTAGGCAATACACTCAAAGTTTTAAAAAGAGGTGATGTTAAGAGGAGGCTGTTAAGAGTGGACCCCAGGGATGGGGCATGCACAAAGGGGCCATGTGAGAACAAATGAGAAGGTGACCATCAGTAAGCCAGGAGAGATGAATGTCTTAGGAGAAAACAACCCTGCTAGCTCTAATCTTGACCTTGGATTTCTAGCTTTCAGAACTGTGGAAAGTTTTCTACTGTTTAAGCCAGTCTATGGAATATTGTCATGACAGCCCAAGCATTAACATGGGAATAGAGATGGAACATTTAATCTGTGGGTCCTGTACCCACTGGGTGCAGCCCCCTACATAACTGATCTTAATCAGTCTCAGCATCTATGAATGGTAGATGTTTGCCCTGCTTGGCACATAGCTCAGGTATCTAAGTGACTTGCCAGGGATACAGAGCTGACTTTGCCTAACTCTAGTGTTGGCAGGGTTTTTTGTTTTTTCTTTGACATAGGGTCTCACTATACAACTTAGAAGGCCTGGTACTATGTAGCATAGTGAAGCCTTGAACTTGCTGCAATCCTCCCCTCTAGGCCTCTTAAATGCTGAGATTACATGTGTGGGACACTACACTTTCTTCTTTTTTATTTTAAATATTACATGTGGTAGCAGTATGGGGTATGAGGGGGCTACCATGGCACTTGTGTGGTCAGAGGAAAACTTGCAAGAGTCGGCTCTCACCTTTCCATGTGTGTCTGGGGGATAGAACTCAGATTGTCAGGCTTGGAAGCAGGTGCCTGCTGAGCCATCCCACAGGCCCATCATCTTGTTCCATAACCCAGACTAGCCTGGAATTCAATATTCTTGTGCCTCAGCCTCCCAAGTGCTAGGATTTACAGACATGAGACACACCTGGCCTATTGGTAGGATTTTTAATTAATTTTTTTGCTGTTGTTTCTGAAGCAGGGTCTAGCTCTGGCTAGCACGGAACTATGCAGAGTTGTGGGAATACCCTTGTCTCTGTCTCCTAAGAGCGGAGATTTCAGGAATGAGCCACCAACAGGCCTGGCTTGTTGGGTTTTCAAGGTGTCATGGTGTGATTAGAATACTGATAGCAAGGTGGGAGTGGCCAACACTCAACAGCTCTGGAGCTGCTGGCACTCACAGAACAGCATCCTGGTTGAGCAACAGTTTCACACAGTCTCTGAGCCATTACCCCAGTCTCTGGCTCACAGTGGCATGAAGCTTCTATTTTAAACAGAGTAACTGTTCGGGCACTCATTCCTCAGAAGAGAGAGTGAAGACTGGAATTCAGACTGCTTACATTGTTTTAGAATTCTTTTGCATGTTTTTTCTTTTTTCTTCTTTTTTGTCTTCAGGTAGCCCAGGCTTGCCTTGAACTTGCTACATAGCTGTGACTGTCCTTGAACTCCTCTACCTCCCAAGTGCCACCACGCCTGCCATGTTTCCACTGTTGAAAGTTTACTAGGTGGCTACAGTCCAAGTACTTTCTAAGGATGAAATCTGATCTTTACAACTTCTTAGTGAGAAGGTTTCATTAATACCCTTCTAGAGATGAAGAAAGTGATACTCAGAACAGTTCAGTAAATTTCCCATATGAGATTAAAAACAAAAAAAGATCCTGAGCACAGAGGAAGATCAGAAACATTCTTGGTTCCCAAAGATACATGAATAAAGACATCTCTGCATCTGAGGGAGGCCTGGGAAACAAGGGGCACACTCTGGGGAATGGAGTAGTGGTAGGGCTCAGCAGCAAGAGAAGAGGGTACTATTCAGATTTGGGTTTTTAAAAAAATTACTATTTTTGTGTCTATGTGTGGTGTATACATGCATACGCACGTGTGCATCGCACATGTGGATTCCAGGGGGCAATGTATCCATGGAGCCATCTCCCAGCCCCCTCTTCTGCTATTTAATCAATCAATCAATCAATCAATCTATCTATCTATCTATCTATCTATCTATCTATCTATCTATCTATCTATTTATCTTTCATTCATTCATTCATGCTTCCTGCCTCAGCTTCCTAAATACTAGGATTAGAGGTGTGAACCACCATGCCTGGCTTGTTTTGTTTTTGTTGTGTTATAGTGCCCAGGCAGAAGGCATATGTGCTTCCATTGGCTGGGGGATGACAGAAACCATACAATGGGTGCCAGAATGACAGTTACAACAACAGCAAACACTTAAGATGCATTTGGCACATGCAGATTGCTTCCACTCACTCATAACTCTGCTACCCAGCTGGGAGGGGGCTCAAAGTTGAACCCAGCTGGTGTCGCCTGTGTTCTTACACCCACAATGCAGCACAGTACTCACTTGTTCAAGTCACACTCACTCTCACTTGGGGTCTCGCAGTCTTCTGATTTCTGGGACATGTCTAGCAGGGCTTCCTGAAGCTCTCCAATCCTGGGCAAGAATAAGCACCTGAGGCAGGATCTAGATGCCAGAAGGAGGGGGGACTCCATCCTGTGTCACACCCACTAAAATATGGTGGGATTCTGTTTCTTTTTCCCATTCAGGTTTTCTTCCAGTGGCTCACACTCTGTTCAGGAACTAGAGGTAAGACACCACCTCACCTGTGGGTGTAACCCGCCACATCCGAGAAGGTGGTGGAGAGGTCAATGAGTTGGGTGAAGCAGTTGATGAGGTAGATGCACACGAAAGCATTCTGGGTAGGATGGAAAGCTGTCAGTGCAGGCCCCAGGCAATGGGCTACAGTGGAAGGACTTTCCAGGAGGCACTCTCACCTTGCTGACAAGGGTACTAAGCTCTGTGGGGCTCAGGTCTCCATAGATCCCACTGAAAATGGGGATTGCGATGACAACATAACTCAGGATGCTGCCCAGATAATCAAAGGTGTTGATACCAACTACAGGAGACAGAGTGTGTGAAACAAGGAACTACTCATGTGTTCTGCAGAGGACACAACCCTCAGGATGGGGAGTAAGAAGCCAAACAAAGCCATGCTTCCTCCAGACCCTCATTCTCCCGAGGACACCCACAGCAAAGGCAGTGGCTCCCCTGGTTAATTCCTTCAGGGGAGGGCGGGCAGAAAGCAGGGAGGCATAGTAAGGGAAATGGACCATCCCCACCCCGTTGTTCCACCTCTGGGGTTCCCTCTGCCTACTGTACAGCCAGAGCTCCTTGGACATCAGCTCCCTCTGGGTATGAAGGAGTCTCTGCAGCCTGCGGTCTGTCCTCATGTGCTCAACGTGCCCGGCTCTGATGGGAAAGATTGGAGGTTCAGGACTTGCAGGGGCTCAGCAAGAGTGGACTACCCTCACACCATCACCAACTGCCTCATTTTGGGACCAAGGCCATCCAAATAACCTTAGCCTCAGACCCTTTCTTCTACTAGTACCCACCCACAGCTTGATCCTCATGATCCTGTCTGTGGAAATGCCATGAACTCTGGAGTTGGCCACACCCAGTTCAAATCCTGGTTCTAGCTGGTTTCTGCTTAAATAACACGTGGTTACCTAAGCCTCTAACACCTTATTTTTTCTCATTGTAAAACTGAGATAATAACATCTACTGAGTAGGTTAGAATGAGATTTAAGAGTTCTGACGCAGGGTCTCATGTATCCAGGCTAGCCTTGAACTTGCTATGTAGCTCAGGATGATCTTGAACTCCTGATCCTTCTGCCTCCACCTCCTGAATATAAAGACTATTAGGTGTGTGCACCTGGTTTATGTGGTGCTGGGGATTGAACCCAGGAATTTGTGCATGCTAGGCAAGCACTCTACCAACTAAATTACACCCTGAACCCTAGAATATAAAATGTCAAGCAGAGGGACCCTCAATAAGTAAGAGCTGGGAGCTGGAGAGATGGTTCAGCAGTTAAGAGTATTGGCTGATCTTGCATGACCTGGGTTCAGTTCCCAGTACCCACATGATGGATAATAGCCATCCATAACTCCAGTTCCAGAGGAATCCAATGTCCTCTTCTGGCCTCCACAGGCATTGTACACATGTGGTGCACTTACATACATACAGGCCAAACACTTAATACACATATAAACTAACTAAATAAAAATAAAGAGCTGCTATTAGCTATGATGATGATGATGATGATTACTACTGTGGTGCTGGGGACAGAACTCGGGGCAGTGGGCATGCTAGGTTCTAGCACTGAGCTACATTCCCAGGCTCAAGAGCTACTGGTATTAACCAAATGAAATGGAGCAGTCACTATGTGCCAGGCTCTATGCTGGTCAGCTAGTGCAAGGAAGAAGTGGACAAATAGTTCCTGTCTTTAAGGGACTCTCACTTAGAGGGCAGGTGGCCAAAGTGCATTAACCAGGAAGAGTGTCAATGTGTCCTCAGGACTATGGTAACAAACAGGCTTGTCCACTAAAGGACAACTCTCCAGAGGAGGTCGCTTGAACTTCAATCCTAACTAGGAATTTTCCAAAAAGAAAAGTTGGAGGGAAGAAAGAAGGTATCTTAAACTTTTCAGAGGCTGCAAAGGAACCCAGGCATGGTGGGTGGTACACGCCTTTAATTCTAGCACTTAGGAGGCAGACACAGGCAGATAGCTGTGAGTTCCAGACCAACTAGGACTACTAGGACTACATAGTAAGAACCCCCCCCCGCCAGAAAAAGAAACCCATCTGGAGCTCCAAGAGCTAACTAAAAACTAGCCTGGTTTCATGTTGGGGGACCCTGCTGCTAGGGTTGTAGTCCTCCATGTCCAGATAGCTCTAAGGGGCTCGGCCCTATATGGAAGGACTCTCCTTCTCAGTGGCGGCCTCCTGCTCTCTGCCTGACTTACCTGGAAAGTGCCGCCAAGCATGATACCTGACCTTATTTGGAACATGACCTTTGGCATAGTTACCTGGAGTAAAAACTACCCCCAGGTTTTTTCTATATGATAATTAGGCATTTCCCCATAGTCGGATGATAGGATCCCCGTCACATGTAAATAAAGCATACTATGAGCACCTATAAGCATTGGCTGCTGCCTCCACACTATATTTTCCCTAACACCCACTGAATAAATGGAGCTGTTTCACTGAGTCTGGAGCTGTTTGTATCACTGAACCTGCTTCCCCGGAAGGGCTTTCTTCCGTCACTGGCCGTCCTGACCCCGTTCATTGCTTCTGCTCCCTTTGTCCTCATGGATCGGTGGCCAATGACCCATGAGGGGAGGGAGAGACCCCACAGTTTCCCTAAAGTTTTATGAGTACAAGATTCAGAATCCAAAAGCAAATTCACCACTGGCCCTACTTACCCCACCACCCAGCTCCAGCTCAGATTCTTAGTATTCCTGGTGTCTTGCTAAGTACAGTAGAGACTGACAAAAAAGCAAAGGAACGGAACTATCAGACTCACTCACTCCAAGAACAGGTGATCCAAGAAGTAACTTGATTTTTTTTTTTTTTTTTTTTGAGATAGGGTCTCACTAGGTAGCCCTGGTTGGCCTGGAACTTAATATGTAGACCAGGCTGGCCTCAAGCTCACAAAGATCTGCCTGCTTCTGCCTCCCAAGTGTTGGGCTTGAAGGTGTGCACCACCAGGCCTGTCAATAACACAACTTCTGGAGTTGGAGAGATTCAGTGCTTAAGAGTGTGTACTGATATTCTAGAGGACCTGAGTTCATTTCCGAGCACCCTGATTGGCTCACAACTGTCTGGGACTCTAGCTCCAAAGGGATCCATCTCCTCTGGCTTCTTGACCTTCTACAAGGATCCTAGTCCTTCCCATGCTACAGAGATACAGGATCAGCCTTGGATGCCAGGAGGTAACAAGTAAGCTACTTCATGGATCGGAATTCAGACAAAGGTGATACCTCAATTATCAAAATAAACCATCATTTTATCCTTTGGCCATTTTAGGCCACTAAGACCAAAGAAGTCACCTGTTACAGAAGCAGTCTCTGAGCCCAAGGATAGTGAGAAGGATAGGGAGAGGGTCACAGTGAAGTATGACATGCTCTATGGTGCCAAGAGGGTCATAGACCCTCTTTCCTTCTCTATTACTGACTCTAGAAGTCAGGAGGGGAACTTTCTCCACTAGACTCACCTGTAGAAAGCAGCAGGCTCAGCATTCACCCGAATCTGCATATGCTTGAACCTGGGCAGAAAGAAGGGAAATGTGAGCTGATAATGGGGAGCCCTGGATCAAAAGGAAGCCCACTTCCAGACAGCAGAGCCTAGCTCCACCTCTGGCCTGTGACAGGGGCTGAAACCCCAGGGCTTGGGTGGGTCTGCAGGAGTTATGCAAACAATGCTGACCTGAGCTTTCTACTGACAGAACAAGCATATTCTTGCCCATAGGACCTCCTCCCCCAGACCTGGCTTAGCAGGAGGTAAGAAGCACAGAGCAGGGGCTAGATCAATCAGCTGCCCAAGACAGGGTGATGAAACAATAGTGTGTGAAAAGGCCCCCAGATGATGCTTCACATGTATCATCTCCTTAATGCTCCCAGTTCTCCGAATACACAAGCATACTGTCCACATCAGAGATGAGAAAACAGAAACGTAAAGAAGCAAATAACACTCCCACCCCCACAAGATCATCCGTAGCTAGTAAGTGGCATAGCTGGGACTTGTTACATTTAGGCATCCTTATCTAGCCCCCATCCTTTATCCTGAAGCAAGAGACACACCTGAAATCTCCCTCCAGCTTCTCCTGCTGCACCAGCTTTGTCACGATGGGCCCCATCAAAGTTTTGTTCACCATGGTTCCCAGGATGAAATACCCAAAGATGCTTACAGGCCCAAGCCAGCCTGTGCTGAAATGGCGTAAGAGAGAGGGTGAGGGGATATGGGGTGCCCCATAGGTCTATATATCTCAGCCCTGCCTCCATCCCTCTCAGGTAGCCCCTGTTCAATCTCAGCATCCCCGAGGACCCTCTGCTTCTACGTGGGGACATCTGATACATAGTAATAAGCTGTTAGAGCCAGGATCTCTGACAGTGAAATATCACAGGACCAAAGAGGGGGCAGGGTCATAACTGTGTGAGCTATGAAGACTCCCCGGGGTGCAGGTGGGAGGGGGAAGATGAGCCTCTCTTGGACCCTGACCTGCTCTCTGTTTGGGAGACTCTGGGTAAACACCAGGCTGAGGAGGATGGGCCTGGGAAGGGAGAGGTTGCACCTTTTGAAGCACTGATAAGTGTAGTAGGTGAGGGTGAAGGGCGAGATGATCAGTTTGCTGGCCATGCTGCTGAGCTGCCGGCAGAACCGCTCCACGTCCTGGCTTATACGCTGGTCCCTAAAGCCAACAACAGAGTAGCTAGACCCAGAGTGAGCTGGGCTCCAGACTAGGGCAAGCCAGGGGACTTCTACCTCTTCTTCTGACCTTTCCTTTTAGTACCTCAGCAATACCCACAGGAAGATGGGCCCATATAAGTAGCCCTTTACCTCTAAATAGGATTCTAGATAGCTGTATCTTGTGCTGCCTCAGTTTACCCTACAGGAAAAGTGGCACCAGAAAATCCAGCACCCAAGAGCCTGAGCCTGCTCTGTATAAAGCCAAAGGAAAAAAATAAGGTAGAACATGGTCTCCTTAAACTCAATCCTCCCTCTTCTCGCTATGGGCCTGAGTCTGCTCTAGTTCAGCTGTCTGGCTAACAAAGCTTCACAGGGGCCAAGCCATCCTGAAGAGACTGAGGTGAACAACAGCAGCAGCAGCCACCTAGCCACCTTCCAAGAACCCTGACTAGGAAGCTCAGCTTGAGCTGAGGAAAAGTCACCCCAGGCAGGCAGCAAAGTGCTTGCTGTGGAGTGGTGACTGAGGAGGGCATAAGTGTGAAGGAGAGATCCTGTAAGTCTTATCTCAGCACCAGGGCCAATGAGGAACTCCTATTCCCAATTAGAAATGTGACCTTGGACAAGTCACTTATAATCCCTGGGTCTCAGCTTCCTCACCTCTAAAATAACAACAGCTTATACTTGAACACTTGATGTCAGGCACTATAGATATATATATATACATTACATGAACAGTATCATTTCATCCTCATTACATCCTTTGAGACAGACACTATTATCTTCACTGTACAGAAGGGGAGCATGGGGCTTAGTAAGAGTGAGAAGCTGGAAGGTGGCAGAATGGGGATCTCAATCCCAGACAGCATAGCAACAGAAACTTTCTTTTTCTTCTGCTTCCCCCTCCCCTGGCCCCGTACATCCAAGAGCTGGCTTTCTTCGCTTGCCTTATTGCAAAGCTCAAGATAGGGAATAGACTAAAGAGAGCTGTTCCCAACTTCTTTTTAGCTCCCTATTCTCAAACCCATGATCTTTTGAAGAACATCATCCCCACACAGCTCTGGATAGCAATGATGGCCTCCTGTAGGTAAGTGCAGTCAGGAGTCTCCAGGGCAAAGCTGGATGGATGGGGCAAGCCGGTGGCAAGGATTGAGAGGGGTGCGTACGGATTATCGATGTCATCCTGCAGCACGTTGAGGGTGTAGTACACACGGGCCCGGAAATACAGGTGGTGCAGGTGCTCAGTGAGGTCCTTCCTCCAGCTCACATACAGCAGCTTGCAGGTGAACTGGTCAAAGCTCTTCAGCTGTGTGGCAGGGGAGTAAGGGGAAGGGAAGGAGGAAGAGATGGCTTCCTGCAAGTCTCGGTTCAAAGCTCAGCACTGGTAGGAGCTTCTGCTGACGGGGCACAGTCCACTCTGATCACTCAGCACTTTTCCTTTCTAAAGCTTCAAATCACAAGATTCCCCTTCCCCCATTCACTCATGTGTCTGCTCCTTCAAAAACACTCGAAGGGATTATCAAAGTAAGACCCTCAAGGCCCTTTCTGCAGTGTATATGTTACACTGAACATCTGGAGATTGGGGACTATATGGTCTGTTCCATTTATGTTTTTACTCCTCTGTTGCCAAAGCATGAAAGAGGCTTCCAAATACCTTGGTTTTACACACCAAAATGGTGAATTTAGGACAAGAAGAAGCATCCCCAAGAAACTGCTAGTCCAGTCTGACAGAGGGCATCAATCTGGGTCTTGGCAGAGCCTTGCTCATCATCTGCCATTTCTGAAAGACATCTGTGCTAAGCACTAGGGAAATAATGAACCCACAGTCCAGCCAGTGAGCAGACAACGGCAAAAGTATAAAGACTGTGGCAGCAGCAGAGAAAGGGCCAAATCTGACGAAGGAAACACGAATGACATGTTGAAGGAGTCTCAAAACAGATGACAATGGAGGCATCTTGAAAAACAATCAGGCTGTTACCAACTCTACAAGTGGTAGAGGAAGGTGGCCATCAGACAAGAAAGTAGTAGGTGGAAAGAAGGTGTGACACTGTGCCAGCTTGAGTCACACAGTCTCAGCTGCCAGAGAAGCAGCAGTGACTCTGGCTATGGATCCTGGTTTTAAAGTGCTCTGAGCTCTCTGAAGTGAGAATTCTGGGAAGGGAAGGGACACTGGCTATTTCCACTGAATGCTGAATTAAACCATAAGTTTATGGCCAATAGTGAGATCAAGGCCCTGACTAGGGTTCTGATCTCCAGGGAAAGTATCCTTCTAATTCCCAGAAAAAGGAAGAAACACACCCAACAGCTTGGTTCCTGCTTCCTGAAGCCTAAATCCCACCAGGCATTCCATTCCTGTTAGACCAGAGAGGGAAGCCCACAGGGAAAAGGCAAGCCCTTACTGTGGAGTTGAGAATGATGAGAACAACAGCCAGGAAGGTCAGTGCCTTAAATCCAGCCAGGTCTTTGTTTCCCAAGACTCCATAATACTGACTGGGGATCAGGCCAACCTGGTAGATCACCAGTTGTTCTGTAGGGAGGGAGAGGGGCCAGAAATCAGAAGAAAATGGAAAAGGAAAGACATTTCCTCTTGATACTCTTGATATTGGCTCCAAGGATAAGGAAAGGAATTCTGAACCCAGGCTCTTCCCCTTCCTCAAAACCCATTCACTCACCAAGGAGGGTCACACACAAGAGAGTCAGAAACATCAAGACATTCTGTGATGACCAAGAAGGAAAGCAAACCTTCTGTATCCTCAGGAACCGCTGGACGAGTCGCAGATCTAACCGGGGCCTGCAGAAGTCAGTAATTGGAGAAAAGGCTCAGAGGACAGTTAAGTCTTAGTGAGCAGTTATCCTCATTTTTCTAGAGAGGATCCAAGTTTTGCACAAAGAATGGCTTATGAGTGCTAAAGACGGCCAGTTAGTAGATATCAGTGCAAAAGTGACCCTACTCACCTAATAGAAGCAAATGTAGAAAAATATCTTAATGAAGATACCTTAATGATGTTGAGATGATCTAATGATGATGATCCCATCTCCTGGGGCTGGAGAGATGGCTCACCAATTAAAAGCACTGGCCGTTCTTGGAGAGAACCCAGGTTTGGATCCTAGCACCCACATGGTGGCTAACAACCATCTATAACTCCAGTTCCAGGGGATCTAGTGCCTTCTGGTCTCTGTGGACACCAGGCACACACGTGATATATATATACATACATATGTAAAACATTCATACACATAAAATAAAAATAAACTTTTGGGGGGGTTGTTGTTGTTGTTGTTGTTTGAGACAGGGTCTCTGTAACCCCAGCTGTCCTGGAACTTGCTCTACAGACCAGGCTGGCCAGAGAGCAGGCTGCCTCTGTCTTCTGAGTGTTAGGATTACAGGAATGCACCACCATGCCCAGCACTTTTTTTAAAAAAAATTTGCATGCATGTGTTTAGATGCACTTGAGTGTCTAAATATGTGTACAAGTGTATATATGGAAGCCAGAAGGCAAACTTGGTTGTCTTTCCTCCAGAGGCCATCTACCTTGTTTATTTGTTTTTAAGACGGTCTCTCACTGCCCTAAATATATATATATAAATAAATCTAGGTACCCAAGACTAGGGAAATAAGGTCTATGTACCCAGGGTAACATCGCACAACATGATCTCGAAAACATGTTTAGTTAGAAAAATATTTTTTGTCTATTTTTAAAATCACAACTTATTTAAACGAATTCAAAATCACTATATATATTTTAAGGTAACGCAACAATTTACATAAAGTAGTCTAAAATAAAACAAAACAAAACCGAAGCATAGGGGCTGGAGAGATGGCTCAGCCATTAAGAGTGCGTACTGCTCTTCAGAGGTCCTGAGTTCGACCCCCATCACGTGGCTGACACAACCTGTCACAAATGCCTCTGGCCTCCGCGGGTGCCCACACTTATGTGCACATATCCACACACACACTCGCATGATTTAAAGCTCAGAGTAGGTGTCCGAGGAGTGGCTCGGGATTGGGAATAGAAGGAGGGGAGAAAGATACCAAAAGAGGGTTCTCTGCGGTACCAAGAACAGGCTAGTAGGAGCAAGGACCCGCTCAGGGTGCAGGGGCTGCAGAAGTCCTGCGGAGGCGGCAGCAGGCGGCGAGGCCAGCGGAGGTGGTCGCTCCCGCGCGAGCCCCTCTTTCTCTGCGGGTGCCCGGAGCTGCAAGGTCCCCAACAGCCCAGCAAACCCGGTCGCCCTCACCAGCTGCCCTGTTCACCTCGCTCCAGCTCCGGCCGCGAACCCCGGGACCGCCATGACCTGGGATGCGACCGACGAGGGAGCGGAGCACATCCAGGGTCAGTTCAGGGCAGAGTCCGCCGAGCTTGTGGCCGAGTCCTCCGAGCTCTTGGCCAGCCCGCCGGAGCGGAGGGGAGGGGCTCCAGTGACCACCGAGACACGCGGCTAGAGAGGAAGGCTCCAGGAGCCACTCCCGGAAGCGCAGAGGTCCCGAAAGAGCCAGCGAGTGCACAGAGTATATAATGCGGCCAGCTGCTAGAGCGGCCCCTTTGGATCTAGGAGGTTCCCTGTTTGACAGCCGGTAGCCGGGAATGTAACTATTTTATGACAAGTATATTAGATTCTGAATATAGTCGATGTTCCACATTTTCTCCTAGAGGATCCGGTGTAATCGTTAATTTTTTAAATTTATTATTTCTTATTTTATGTGTATGAGTATATTGCCTACATGTATGTGGGTTGCACCCGTGTCATGCAATGCCGCGGAGGTCAGAAGAGGCTTCGGATTCCCCTAGAACTGAAGTTAAGGACGGTTTGTAGCCACCATGTGGGTGCTGGGACTCGAACCCGGGTCCTCTGCAAGAGCAGTCAGTACTCTTAACCGCTGAGCCATCTCTCCATCTCTCCATTTTAAATTTTTTTTTAATTATTTAATTTTGGGGCTGGAGAGATGGCTCAGCGGTTAAGAGCACTGGCTGTTCCTGCAGAAGACCAGGTTCGAATCCCAGCACCCACATGGCAGCTAACTGTCCGTAACTCCAGTCCCAGGGGATCCGACAGCCTCTTCTGTCCTCTGTCCAGCATTGCACGACACAGGTGCACTCACCTACATGCAGGCAATACACACATACACATAAAAATAATAAATAAAATACTTTTTAAAAAATCAAAAACAAAATCCTTCTGGATATCCAGTTATTTGGAGAGGAGAAAGAAAAAGAGACCACCACATTTCCAATTCACCAAAGTAGTCACGGCTATTTTCAACTCATCTTTTATTTCCTCTGCCTCCCCAGTGCTGGGATTAAAGGCGTGCGCCACCACACCCAGCTCTTAATTTTATTTTTTAAGAAAGGGCCCCAAGGCCGGGTGTGTTCTGGCTGACCTAGAACTCTATGTAGACCAGGCTGGCCTCAAATGCAGAGATCCACCTGCCTCTGCCTCCCTGAATGCTTTTAAATCAGGTAGGAGATGTAGCTCAGTGGTTCATGGCTTGCCTAACATGTACAAGGCCCTGGGTACCATCCCTAGCACTGCAAAAATAAACACATAAATAGGTCTTCCAGCTAGGTGTGGTGGCTCAAGCCTGTAATCCCAGCACCAAGGAGATAGAGTTCCAGCTCTACCGCCAAAGAGCAAAACGAAACAAAAGACCAAACAGCTGTTTTCATTTTTTATTTTTTTTATTTTGGTCTTTTTGAGACAGGGTCTACCTGTAACCCCAGCTGGCCTGGAACTCACTATGTAGCTAGGCTGGCCTCCAACTCACTGAGATCCACCTGCCTCTGCCTCCCAAGTGCTGGGATTAAAGGTGAGGGTCACTACGCCCTGCTGAAAAAATAAAACATTTTTTTAAAAAATCATCAAACCAGCGACTGGAGAGATGGCTCAGCGGTTAAGAGCACTGACTGCTCTTGCAGAAGACCCAGGCTCGATTCCCAGCACCCACATGGTGGCTACAAACCATCCTTAACTCGAGTTCCAGGGGAATCTGACGCCCTCTTCTGACCTCTGCGGCATTGCACGACATGGGTGCACTCACATACATGCAGGTAATACACTCATACACATAAAATAAAAGTAATAAATAAAATATTTAAAAAACCCAACATATCAAGATTCAAGCATTGAAGATTAATAAAGCAACCCAAATATTAAGGCAAATAATCTCAGCTGGGTTTGTGGTGTTTGAATAGAAACAAAAAAACCCCATAAGATTAACTGGTCAAAAACAAAATCTCTGTTGGAAGACCCAACCTTTCCAGTTTCACTGGACAATCACCTGGTCATAGGACCACCCCTAGGAAAGCAGGTTCATCTTAAGTCATGCTAAGTAGATGGGCAAAATACCTAGTGCATTAATAAGATAGTGAACTTTTCCTGGCTGGAATCCCTCTTCCTCGTGCAGTGCTTCTGGACCTGGCCACAGGCATGTGGCTCATTATAAATCTGCCCACTTTTCCGAAAAAAGTGTAATCTCTTCTTTTTGTCTTCATATCCCTTTTCTAAACATGCTTTCTTTAATGCTTTGGGCTGCCCCAGTATCTTGTATTTCTTTTCTTTTTCTCTAAAGCTTCCTTCCCCTGCCATGTGGCTGCTATTTTGCCATGTGTCTGACCTCCATGCAGGCTCTAAACCTGCATGGCTTCATGGCTTGTTTCCTTCTCCCCTCCATTCTCCTCCTCAAGGCAGCTGCTGAAATTCACAGCTTGCCTGCCCTGGGGATTTTTCTTTAAAGTCTAATAAAATTGTCTTAAAGTGGGTTGTCTCCCTTAGCTACAGGGCCAAGAGCCCCATACAAAAAAGATAATAATAATAAAAAGCTGGGTGTGGTGGCACAAGCCTGTAGTCCCAGCACTTGGGAGGCAGAGGCAGGTGGTTCTCTGTGAGTTCAAGGCCAGCCTGATCTACATAGTGAGTTCCAGGACAGCTGGGGCTACAGGGAGACCCTGCTTCAAAAAGACCAAAATAATAGTAATAATAAATACCAAAAGTGTTGAAAGGGAGAAAGGTGTCTTCCCAGCAATAAAAGGAGGAGGAGGGGGAGGAGGAGGAGGAGGAGGAGGAGGAAGAAAAAGTACATGACGTTATCAGAATAAAGTGATGGGGAGATATAGGAGGAGTTGGAGGGGAGGGAGAGGGCATGGATTTGATCAAAACACCTTATATGCATGTATGAAATGCTCAATAAATTATTTTTTAAAAATTATCCTAAAGCTTTCATTTGAGTCCAATCTTAAATTCTTTGATGAATGAGACTTAAGAACCTTCTAGGGGATACTGTTTTTCCCTTTTATCTGTGGCATATGCCTGTGATCCCAGCATTTAGGAGGCAGAGGCAGAAGAATTAGGAAAACAAGGTTATCTTTGGCTATGCAGCCAATTCCAGGCCAGCCTTGGCTACAAGAGACGCTGTCTTTTAAAAAAGACAAGCAAGGGGAAAAAAAAAGACTAGCAAGAACCAGGTCGGGTGGTACCTCCTTTTAGTCCCAGTATTCAGGAGTCAGAGGCAGGTAGATCTCTGTGAGTTTGAAGCCAGCCTGTTCTACATAGACAGTTCTAGGCCAGTCATAACAAACAAACAAAAAGGCAAGCAACCTCTTTTCTTGAGGGACGTCTAGGTTTTAGACTTGTGTTGTAACTCAGAGGTGGAGCAAATATCAGAATGCCTAAGGCAGTGGGTATCACTGTAGAGTTTGGAATTTGGTATTTGGTAGCATAAGCCTTCTAAGGCAAGTGATCTAACACCGAGGTACATCTCCAGCCTTAATATTGCATATTTAAACTTTTTTTTTTTTTTTGTCTTTTCAAGGCAGGGTTTTCTTGTAGTTCCAACTGGCCCAGAGTTCCCTATGTAGACCAGTCTGGCCTCTAACTCACAGAGGTCCGCCTGCCTCTGCCTCCTGAGTGCTGGGACTAAAGGTGTGCCCCACCACGCATGGCATATTTAAACTGTTAAGTAGTAGTGGGGACCAGAACACACTTCCTTGAATTATAGTGCTTTGGCGTGCTGAGTATTATATTTATTTACTTATTTTTTATTTTCTTAATTTTTGAGACAAGGTCTCATGCAGCCCAGGCTGCCTTCAAACTCACTATGTAATCAAATATGGCCTTGAACTTTTGATTCTCCTGCCTCCACCCTACTAATATTAGGATTACAAGTAATACTGGGGATTGAACCCAGGACTTTCAGCATGCTAGGCAAGCAGTCAACTAACTAAGCCACATCCCCAGCCCAAATGCTGAGTATTTTAAAGGAGATTAGAGCTCCTCATAAAAAGTTCTCTCTGACTTTCTCTGGTGATCTTGTCTTTCTCCCTTAAATTAGCAGGTCATAGAAATTAGAACCCCTCTCCTCCAAAGCTAACCATTAAGCCTAGAAATATTATTCTAACCTTCCCCCACCTTTCTGTCTGGGAGCTGTCCATAAAGAAATTCTCTGGGCTGGGGATGTAGCTCTGTGGTAGAGTGATTGCCTAGAATGTACAAGGCCCTAGGTTTGGTCCTCATCACTGGGGGCAGAAGAGGGGACCCAAAGCTACCCTAACCTACCAAACATCGTAGCTTAGCCCAGCCTATTTTAAACATTAGCTTACAGTTAGGCAAACTCCTGTTACACAAAGCCTGTCTTATAACAAAGGATTGAGTATCTGATGTGGCTGATGAGAGCTGCAACTTGATGCTGTTGCCTAATATCATTAGAAAGTGTCATATCACATATGACAGGCAAAGATCAAAATCCAAGACTCAAAGTATGATTTCTATTGTAATGTGTATCATTTTTTCACACCACCATAAACTCGAAAAATCATGAATTCGACATTGTAAACCAGAGATCATATCCCTAGGTGTGTGTGTATGTGTGTGTGTGTGTGTGTGTATGTGTGTGTGTGTGTTTATACCTGTAATCACTGCCTCCTACTAGTGACCGTTTCATCCTTGAATTTGTGGACTCCTGGAAGACAATGATCCTACCTGATTAACTCATCAAGGAGGCTATAACTGATGCTATGGAGATATAACTCTTACTGGTACGTAAGTCCTTTGTAAACTAGTATAACTCTGCTCTTCAGAAAGCAGTGAGAAAAGCATGGACTCAGACTACCTGTGTTGTGATTCTGCTTCTGTGGAGTCTGGGAAGGTTCCCAGGAAAGTTTCTTAGCTTCTCCTGCTTCTATTTTCTTGTAAATGGGATATTGCTAGCACACTCCTGGTCAGCTTCCCATCATCAGAACTTGAGAAAGGGTAATAGGGAGATGTGATTTATTGAGTTGTCTCAGAGAAAAGTAAGAAAAGTAGTGAGATCAGGTATAGGGCAGGGTGAAGATCCCATGCTATCTTACCTGGGGTCTAGTATTCATCTGATCCACAGGAGCTCTTGAACTGGACCACA